CTACCACTGGGCATTGCCAAATCAAAAACAAGAGCCTGAGAAGTAATAGATGGTCACGTGTGATAAAATAAGGACATACATTTGGAACTTGAAGTATTTTGAAATGTCTGAAAGAAAGCTGAAATCAGGTCAGATTACATGTATAAGCCCCATACCATTTTTGTATTTGTTTTTTGTGACTGTCCTAGGGTTTGAACTCAGGGCCTAGGCAAACATTCTGCTTCTGTCACTGAGGAAATGTTATGCAATCTTAGAGAAGTGTTAAACACCATAGTCAACATGCCATGGGAAAACTTAAATAATATTGATGAGAGTCTTATGCCTGCAATCCTAGCTACTTAGGAAACTGAAATCTAAGGATTTGGGATCCAAACCTGCCTGGGCAGGAAAGTCCATGAGACTCAAATCTCCAATTAGCTACAAAAAGCCAGAAGTGGAGGTGTGCTTCAAGTGCAAAACAGCAAAGCAATACTGCCCAGACTGCAGGCGGGCACTGGTGGCTCACGCCTGTAATCCTAGCTACTCAGGAGGCTGAGCTCTAAGGATCACAGTTCGAAGGCAGCTTAGGCAGGAAAGTCCATGAGATTCTTACCTCCAGTAAACCACCAGAAAACTGAAGTGGCGCTACCTCCAGTAAACCACCAGAAAACTGAAGTGGCGCTGTGGCTCAAGTGGTAGAGTACTCACCTTGAACTGAAGAACTGAGGTCTGAAGATAATGGTTTTAAGCCAGCCCAAACATAAAGTCTGCATGAGACTCTCATCTCCAATTAACCAGTCAAAGAAACAGAAGTGGCACTGTGGCTTAAGTGGTATAGCACTAGTCTGAGCACAAAGTGGCTCAGGGACACCCAGGCTCTGAGTTCAAGTGCTGCAACTGACAAAGAAGAAAAAGAAAAAGACAGCTCTCAGGCCCAGAGTTGAAGCCCCACGACAAAACAAATATAGCCCAGGACTGGCACAAAAAAGAAAAGTAATGATTGTGTGCAATTTTTCCCCCTTTTTTATGTCCTATTAGGTAGATCTATCAAGTTGTGTGTACATGTGTTACACCAGTACTAGGTCTTGAATTTAGGACCTAATGTTCACACTTGGGTTTTTGTTTTTTGTTTTCCTGGTCCTGGGGCCTGAACTCTGGGCTTGGGCACTGTCCCTCAGCTCTTCAGCTCAAGACTAGTGCTCTACCACTTGAGCCACAGCACCACTTCTGGTTTTCTGGTGGCTTATTGGAGATTAAAGTCTCTTGGATTTTCCTGCCTGGGCTAGCTTTGAACTGTGATCCTCAGATGTCAGCCTCTTGAGTAGCTAGGATTACAGGTGTGAACCACCAGCGCCTGGGTTGGTTTTTTTTTGTTTTGTTTTGTTTTATCCACAGCCAACACTGTACTTGAGCCACACCTCCAGCCTGGCATTTTTACTGATTATTTAGAGATAGAAGTCTTGAGGACTTTTCTCTCCAAGCTGGCTTTGAACATCGGTTCTGACTGAGATCTTATTCTTCTGAGTAGCTAGAATTATAGACATGCCCACTGGCTCCCATCTTAAAAACATTTTTTATTTTTTTCTTCTTTGTCAGTTGCAGCACTTGAACTCAGAGCCTGGGTGTCCCTGAGCTTCTTTGTGCTCAGACTAGTGTGATACCACTTAAGCCACAGTGCCACTTCTGTTTCTTTGACTGGTTAATTGGAGATAAGAGTCTCATGCAGACTTTATGTTTGGGCTGGCTTAAAACCATTATCTTCAGATCTCAGTCTCCTGAGTAAATAGGATTATAGGTGTGAGCCACCAGTGCCCAGCTTTTTTTGGGGCTGGGAAGGTG